TACATATATCCTTATTGGTCAATCAATTTTTCCCAAATTAAGTTAAGAAGGGGGAGGGGGGGGGGGGGGGGGGGGTCAGTGAAAAAAACTATCTGAATTCAGTTTTTTGTATCATACATTGAACTTTTGATGTCGTCCCTAATGTGCAAAAAAATAGATAAGGGGCGGGACCAAACCTATTGATAACATAATAAAGAAATGATGAAATATACAGAATACGTTGATTGACTTGTGGTTGCCTTATGTCCAGTGGCAAATATGTCACGCATTTTAGGACGAATATAATAGAGATCAAAGGATAAAGAATAGAGTGAAATGGTAAAAACTAAAAGATATAGAATTATAGAAACGATCTTTGATCTGAAACCCCTACCCTCACACACACACCATAACCATTACTGCCAATACTCGCATATATACATCTCTATACAAATATCTAAATTTGAACCTACCCTCCCTCCCCCTCTAGACATCGAGGTTTTGGATCCGCCCCTGTTAAATGTGTCTAATTATATACATTTTGTAAGGGTCTAGATAATAGCTAAACGTACAAGCTATTTCAGTTGATATTTTATAGTGTGTCTTTCTATGTTGTGATGTTACACTATTGTTTCAGAAAAAGGGTGAAGGTTTGGTACTATTAAAACGTTTAAACCGCTGCATTTGTTTGCACCTGTCCTAAGTCAGGAATCTGTTTGTTGATGTTGTTCATAAGTGTTTCTCGTTTCTCGTTTTTTATATAGATTAGACCGTTGGTTTTCCCGTTTGAATGGTTTTACACTAGTAATTTTTGGGGCCCTTTATAGCTTACTGTTCGGTGTGAGCCAAGGCTCCGTGTTGAAGACCGTACTGTGGTCTATAATGGTTTACTTTTATAAATTTTGACTTGGATGGAGAGTTGTCTCATTGTCACTCATACCACATCTTCTTATATCTAATCATATAATTTGTTGGATACCTATAATTATATTATATAATATGTCACAAAATAAACTTGTATACCCCCCTTCCCAATGCAGTATTGAAAAGTAAATCATTTAAAAGTCCTGAAGATAAAATATGTTTTGAAATATGCCCTGCTTACTTATTTATGCAAAGACATATAGTAATTATTGAACTACTGTGGGGCTTGAAAAAAAATCTATTTAAGGGATTCGGAGACGAGAACAGTAAAAAAAAAGCTCAAACGAATCCTAAATGTAAAATGATTTGCAGCATAAGACATGAGAGCACATATTATAGATAGTATTAATTATGAAGTTCACGCCTCATATAGTGAAGTCCTATGTCATAGGACTATTGTTGTAACATGGGTTAGTTACTGGTTTCAATTTATCCTGAATTGTCTTTATTACTTGAAGAATTAGTTCCGGAGTATAACAGCTTATGTCTCTACTTGTGGGTTTCTGGTTCAATCTGCTGTCGTAATTAGGTGATTTTTTTTCTACATGTATTAAAAAAGAGGGGGCTTAGTCCAAATAATTGTAACGTCCTGGATGCTTTTTATTCTTATTTCATGTGTGCCTTCCTGCAACGTCTCTGAGGATCAAGAAAAGTAAAAAATGATATAGCACTAAAGAACGTCATGATTACATGTATCTGGACTTAGAAGGGGGAGGGGGGCTAGCTATGTATTTTTTTTTTTATTTCAATGTGTAGACTGATGGAGAGATTCTTCAGAAAAGGTTTTCATTGGAGGTGTTTTTGCCATGCACGCAGGCATCTGTTTCTATCCATGAACAAGTTGTGTGTCAAATTAATTATTATTACTTGTCACTCTCATTTTTTGCTTGTCCTGGCCATTATTGGCATTAACAGCCAGTGCACGAACTCGCACGAACGCCAAATTTAGTTAGAGGGGCGATATTCTGACGCGCTTTTTAATTCTTGGTCACTCAAGTTTAGAAAGAAAGGGGAGAAATCCAAACAATTACCGACCAATCACAAACGTTGCTGCAAATTTGACCTTATGACGTCAAAGAATTTCCCATAATGCAATTATTGCATATAAATAAAAAACTACTATACCCATTGAATAAAAAATATTGCATTCAAATGATATTTTATACCAATTGAATAAAAAATATTGCATTTGAACGAAAATTATACCATTTGAATGAAAAATTATACCATTTGAATGAAAAATTATACCATCTGAATAAAAAATATTGCATTTAAATGAAAAAATATACCATTCAAATAAAAAAATATTACATTTAAATGAAAAAATATACCAATTAAATAAGAAATATTGCATTTAAATGAAAAATATCAAATTTTTGCAACCAATACCATGCCATAGAATACAAAAGTTAAATATACTCTTAAAATGCTTAATTATTATCATTTTGCTTCGTTTCTTCTGTTACCTATTTAGACATCGGACTTGAACTTCTTTTAAACTGAATTTTATTGTGCGTATTGCTGTGTGTTTGTTTATTCCACATTGGCTAGATGTATAGGGGGAGGGTTGAGATCTCACAAAACATGTTTAACCCCGACACTTTTTTGCGCCTGTCCCAAGTCAGGAACCTCTGGCCTTTGTTAGTCTTGTATGTTTTTAAATTTTAGTTCATTTATATGTTCCTTTCTTTAAAAAAAAATTAGTCGTGATTGCATGTTTGGTTTGACAGATCAGATAATGAATATTTAGAGATACATGATTGCTTTACTTGGGACGCCTATGGCGAAAGGTCATGGTTAGTTACCGCTCGAGACCGTGGTTAGGAAACTTTCGTCAACGTTTTCTTGGCTACTGTTAAATGGAATGCTTTTATATTTGGTTTACAAAATGATTATGTTGAGTTGTAGCGTGTAAGCAATTTTATATCTACCGTATAGCTACTTCCTGTTTGTCGATAGTTTGCAATTTTACAATACTATTGTATATTGAAATTTTTCGTCAATATTTTCTTGACTTCTATGTAAGCGAATAATTTTATGTTTGGTCTGCATCTTGATAATGTTATGTTGTATCGTATTAGCAATTTTCAGATCTGCCGTACAGTTTATTCCTGTTTGCTGATAGTTTGAAATTTTACAACACTCATTGTACATTGGACATTTTCTTCGTGGCTTGTATGGAAGAAAACAATTATATATATTTGGTCTGGAGCTTGAAAATGTTGAGCTGTAGCATTTAAGCAATTATAACATCTGCCGTGCATGTCTTTCTGTTTGCCGATAGTTAGAAATTTAACAACACTAAGTATACAAGATATTAGTCTTGTTTTTACATTTGATGTAGAAAACTATAATGGATTCGAAATATAGCTGTTGTTTAATGTTTGGCATAATTTTTGTTGTAGAATTTTTTTCTGAAAGATAACATTACAATTTTCAAATAGGAGACAACTACTGCATGTTTCATTCTTATGTGCTGTTTTAGACATTAGAGGTTGCGTGCTGCCTAAAGTCGAAATGTTCATGCAAAAACAGTTTTCGTTTTGAAGAAATTTAATGAAATTGATGATGTTTATTTGCTTTTCTAGCCAGTTTTGAAAATAGACCAAAATTCTAACCTTTATTATAATTTGTTACTCCCGAAGTTTTTGCATATTATCGTTTTTTCTTGTATTGACATGTATGTAGATTATTTTTGCTGTTTACAGATTCTACCTATCAATTATATTTTTTTTTTTAGATAATAGGTAAACACACTAAAATTAGTAAAAAAAATCTTCATTTACCGGCAATCACTCCTTAAGGGGTTATCCAATGGTTTAGGTCAAATTAACACTTTTGTATAGATCTTGTAGTGCTGATCATTTCTGCCTTACCAGTTTCTACCTGTCTGATATAGATTTTGAGGTAATAGGCAATACATGAAACTTAGACAAAATCGTCATTTTAGGGAACTAACTCTTTAAGGAGTTATCTTATAATTGTGGTGCAAACAGGGAGTATGTGGATCTTGACATTTATGCCCTGTCATATTTTCTCTATCTACTAGTATTCTAGTTTTCAAGATATGAGATATATAATGCATTTACCAGTATGTTCTTCCTTTAGCCATGGCGGCCATGTTAACTGACTGGATAAAAACACAAACTTTATACTAGATATCATAATTAAGGATCATTCACCCAAAGTTGAGCTAACATGAGTTCAGCAGTTTCAGCAGAGTAGATCTTTGAAAGAGTTTACGACCACGAGAACGGGACACCAAGTTATGACAATAGTTCACATGGACATTTGGACCAGGAAAGTTGAAATATTTCCAATTTATGATTTTGGCACCTTGTCCTAATTTATACGGAATAAGGGATACATGTTAAAAATATATGACTATACCCTATTTTGTATTAGCTCGACATGCTGATTTGGATTTGTATCGTGCTAGCTCACAAGCTCACACAAATATTTTTTTTTTATACAACAATTCTGTGTTCTTTGTCTTATGATTAAATACCCTGTATTTGGTCAAGCAGATTTTTTAAATACCCGAAACTAACATTTGATTTGCACCAGTAAAGGAAATAAAGAACGAAAATAAACTCCACAAAATATTGGACACTGATCACATTTATCAATTTCATAGTCTATTCATTTATGATTGTCACTGACTGTCTATACGGACTCCAGCTTCCTAAGTATTAAAGTAGAAATTAAAAAAAAAACATAAAACTAGATTTTTAGGATCTGACATAAACATTTGTTATTCTTAAAATGAATTGTAGAATCCGATATCTAGGACTCAGATGTTTGATCAATAATTATCAATTGCTTATTTTGAAAATACAGTTGCTACCAGGTTACTATTGCATGGGGTAAAATACTTTTGCCCTTTCGGATAACCTGATAGTATTCCATACTTATAAGAAACTCTCTCTAGCGTTCCAGAAATACTGAAGTCAGAATACACGTGTTATTTTATCTTACTTTACTACCAAACTATCAAAGTTTACACAGCAATAGTTAACATTATTCAAAACTATATAACTTTATCTATAGTTCAGAAGAATTTTCAATTGAAATAATTACAATTAAATTGACTGCTCTCGTCCAAACCTAATTATTATACATGCAATATCTTAAATAATTGATGCATAGTCATTCAAAAAACTAAATTTTAGTGTGCACAACTATAAAATCATATTAACAAAATGCATCTTCACTCATCCCAGCGATCAGGCCCCATCACCAGGTGCAGTCGCATCAACTGCTTTCTCTTTTCGTCTGACCGTACAGATTAAACAGAACCCGGAACATCCTGCAAACATAAATTACTGTTACATGAGATGACATGAACATATATAGGTACTGTAAATTATTTCTGATAAAAAGACGTTAGCATTAATCTGTTTTAAATGAAGTCTAATGAAGATGATTGCGGAATTGGATATAACCTTGAAGTGTCGAACAAATCAACAGTACATGAGGTAGATTGATATTGTAATATTGTAATATTGTAGGACAATTATAAAAAAAAACTTAAAAAGGTTAACAGAGGGTTTTAATAGCACTGTGATTAAATAATTTTACGATACATATTAGCTTTATACCTCCCTTCTTTTTCGCTTTCCTTTTATCTCGACGCTTGACTCCTGAAATTTAAAACCCAAAGAACATTATAAATATGAACGATATAAATATATCTATATTTTATTATACGTCATCTAAAATGCAATGCCATATCTGGTATTTTTTCAAAGTACAGGCGTAAACACCAGGTGTTTAAGAGTTCATTTTTCAGTGCTATATTTTATTGATTTTTATTTTTTTATGCTTTCCTGTCTGGTATTGATTCGGTTTAAGGATTCGGGTATTGGATTATTATTGGCAATTTTAAACACACCAGTAACTAATTGTAATGCAATACATATATATAACAAGAAGAATACATCATCTTAAACAACTGTAATTTGGCTGTCCTAGTATCTTAAGTTAAATGATTTAAAAAAGAAAAATAACACTTTATAATTTTGGTAGTTCGGAAGCGCTTGTTTGGATTTACCTACATCGAGAACGCTCAAACCCTAACATTTGAAAGCAAATAACGTATAGATACTCAAATAAGCGAGGAGCTAGTGGACCAAAAGGGACTAAAAAAGCCAAATGCATCCAAGGTCAATTGAGAGCTCTCATCAAATGGGTTCATACGAAGTAAGGAATAAATTATAAAGCGACATTCGCGTTTCTGCCTTGCTTTCATATATTGTTAACTGTCACACAGTGGTAGAAAAAGTTTTTGTTTGGCGTTTTTAGTCGACTGTCTCTGGTCTAAAAAGCTATTAGTAGCGTTGTAGTTACAAGGAAGTAAAAAAAAGATGACATGCGCCACCTAGTTTTCCCATCCAAGATAATAGCTGGAAGTATGTGTTTTCTGTTGTCCTGTTAATTAGAAAGGAAAAATGTAACAGTGAATAATGAATGTCGACTTATAAGGGTTCCAAGTGGTAAAGTTGCAGTAATCCATTTCGCAGTTGTACGAACACCATCAACAGTTGCTTGATCGTTAAGGAATTGAATATTTGTGTCACAGATGACAACGGATGTGTTCCAATTGTCTTTACTCCAATCCCGTCCTATTTCTTACAAAGAAATTGTTGTGACATCAACAAATGAGACTTGTAATCGACTTTGTACTAACCATGAGCAACATGACGGGTGTCACTTGTGCAGTAGGTTTCGCTTACCCACCATGAGTACTTAGCATAATCCCAAGCTTTCAGTTACATCCCATCACTAAACAACGCAGTGGAAAATCCCAATTACCATTTAATAAATGAATACCAGAATCATCATTCTTGTTAAATATCTTATTACTAGCATAAAATTGAAATGATATTATCATACTTTGAAAAAGAAAAAGTAATGTAATATAAACTTATTAAATATAAATTAAAGAGAATAAAATCTTACCTTCTTGATAATCAATAATTTCTCCATAGAGAAGTTCGTATCCTTTACAGAACTCTATAATATGCTCTCCAGCTTCTTCGAGCAACCTATCGTATGTTGTAGGATAAACATCGACCAGTTTTTCTGCTTTAATTTCCTGAGTCATTTTTAATCTAAAATGTTATCAAGTTTTGTAATGCGTTAAAGAAGAAAACAATTCTATATTATTTTAACTTATCTTACAATATTTTTAGTAAGCTGAATTTCTTTAGATATTTTCTTATATTGTGTAATTTCATAAATGAGAATAAGGAAACATTTAAAAAAAATTTAAATTGAACAGAATATTAAAAAAATTTCACAAATTGAGTCTTTAAATTTGTGAACAGCTTATTCATATTCATGTGAAGAATAATGTTATAGAAAGAAGGAAAATAATATAAAAACAAGTATGTTGTTGCAGATAAATATTAATTTCAAATATTGGATAGCTTAAAATTTCTCTACAAGCTAATTGCATGCAAGCAAAAGACAACCTAGTGGTCAATGAACGAACATGAAATAGAAGAGCAAAGACAAGGTGTTCATTGTCATCTTGGTGAATACCTTATATATGTAGTGAAATATGTTGATAAATAATGATAATCCAAACTTTTAGAGCCATGCAACATGACAAAAGGAAAACTTAGATATTCCAGATTGTCTGTTTAGCAAATTATTCTGAATTATTGTGTGACCTGGCATTTGTTTCTTTACTTTTATCGGAGGCATATAGAAATTGTCCTTTTCCATTTCTAAATTCTCTCAGAAGAACGAAAGTAAGAAAGTAGTCGCCTAAATGATATAAACGTATTAATAAAAAGTTAAGTGTACTTCGACAGGTATGTCGAAAACAATGATGTAACCTAACTAAATTACCTTGTTATTTTTTCAAGCAAATCTATTGTTGCGTTGAGATTTTCCTTGGTATCCATTACAAGGCATTTACCAGTATCTATATTCTTCATTGCAAGTTTTCCCTAAACATTTAAGCAAAGTAAACTAACCCTAACCTCCGTTTGTGTAACGACTGAGCTTTGTTAGGATATAGTAAATATTGTCATAATTTAGTTGCTTTTGCCAGATTAACTTTTGCCAGATTAACTTCGTTTATCCCTTTAAACTATTTTTTCGTAGTTTTCATTGTAACTCATCGGAGATACAAAATGTATATTTGAAACGATATATGCCCGTTTCGTCAATATAATACTTTATATAAGTGGCACTCGAATCAAAACAGTTGCAAATCGATTACGAAAAACATTTAAAATCCATCTATGCCTGAGGGTTAAACAACTTATAGTTTTTGAATGATTTATTTTTTTCTTTAACGGTAAATTTACAGAAAGTGACAGTGTCAATGATACTGCATGTCGGCTCATGAGTACTGGATGATGAAATTCCTCGGTCGAAACGTTTCTTTGCAGTAGCATCTATTCAGTGATACCAGATTTATAATTTAATACGATATACGAGTGTTTCGTCATTAGAACACATTTTAGATGCACCAAATAAAATAATAAGAAGACTAAATCAGCGACGACGTTTCGGGGCAATGTAAATCAAATATTCCAATAAATGGTGTGTCAAACTGACTAAGGTTATCTTCGCCTGGGGGTTGAAAGATTTAATCGTTGTATTAAAACTAAATGTACAGTAAATGATCGTATCCATTATATTTCATGAGTAATGACTTTGAGATGAAAGAAAAACGCATATACATGTATATGAAGAAAACGAATTACAATTTTGAAATAAAATTAAAGTAGGTCGGTAGAAAAACAAAAACATTCTATATGATATTTCGATTTCCAAGATAACTGCAAAATATTGACACACAGAAACTAACCTTAAATGCTTTTTTTTTATCATTCAACGGTTTGTTATCAGATCTTCGCAAGATATGGTATGTTTTATATTGGATATATTCTACAAGCTTTATAGCATTATTTCAGTGAATGGAATTTAATAAAATGTTAAGATTGGCTTCAATCGTGGCAACTGGGCTATTAGCCTAAAATACGTTTTTTTCTGCCATGGTAGATTACTCACTTATAAATATTCTATTGTTTTTTTTTATCTATGGTAAAAAAAGGCAAATAAACGGTAGAAGTAACCTTTTCAAAGTCATGAAGATTAATTGTAGACGGACAGTCAGACTGAAGGTGGTACACATTCCCAACATTAACTGTCGTCAGATGTTTATCTGAGTCCACAACAATGTCTTCATTGATACTTCCTCCCGGAACCTTGGCGTTGATTCGATAGGTCTGAAAAATAATATTATGTTCCTAATATATGTACATTATCTCTTAATGCAGTATGTATCAAGTTTTAATCTCGTAAAGATTTCGATTAATATTGTAAATAGAAATGACAAAATCAAAATTAAGATTTCTAAACTTGAACAAATATTGAACATGGTTTGTATGGATACAAATATGTCAAATAATCGAGACCATAAGTTGATTGCATGAGAATGAAAATATTGTTTTATACTTATGGTCATGGAAACATAAATATAGAGCAAACGCCTATGTAATACTATTCTGATATTACAACAAACCTTAATGTCGCTGCTACTTTGTACTGCAACTACTATTGCTGATACAATGATAAACACGTTATGGTTTGGCATATTTTGAGTAAGTCAGCCTATAATAAAACAACATCTTCAATGGAACAATAACTTCATAACAATATCAAAATTGAGTAATTTAGGCGACACTGGTTTCTAAGACCGCAAACAAAAAAAAGTTAAGACACTAACACATCGTATCGGTCAACCCCTGTTAATGAAGTCCATATAGTATGAACATCCCCGAGCGTAAAGTATAAAATGTGTATGAAAACGCAATATGATGGAGCTGAGGGTATGCTACTGCTAAGAAATGAAAGTTGACAGTGGAAAATTGAAATCATTACACTTGTCGTATATTTTAGTTTGAAGGCGTCAATATGTCTTTCGAGGATAAGATCAAGATATGAAGCAGACCTTCGACTTACGGAAGTACCCTTAGTTTCAAGTTCACTGTGCTATATTAAATGTGAGCACTCATTGAATGTGAGTTATTGGGTGACAGAAAATTATGATATAATAGTATCTGTAAATGAAATTTAAGAACTTTGCAAGATGATTTTTCTTTTTTGTCTTTGTGAAGGGTGTGTATAAATTCTGCTTCATATGAGTAACAAAACCGAATCAATTTGGCCAGTAGTAATGTACAATAAGTATCCATAAGAATACCAAACGTTTGCTAAATATCAATCCACAAATATGTGTAATTCTTCACATAGTAATTGTTTTATGACCTAAATCAGGGAATTTGTATCTACGTTTCCCATACTTGTAGAAAAAAAACTCTGTTTTATGAGTTGATGTAGGCGGTCTTTCAATTGAGCACGGAGGGGGACTTATTTGCCTAGTGGTCTTAATCAAACCCATATAAGATACCAGGCGTATGAATTGGTATGCCAGACACGCGTTTAGTCTACATAAGACTCATCAGTGGCGTTTAAATCAAAACAGTTGGAAAGCCAAAGCAAATACAAATGTTAAGAGCAGTTATAACAAAACATTCCTAACAGGTGCGCCAAGTACGAGTAGGGTAATCTACACCTGGGGGAGGATGAGACAATCCTAAATATTTTGAAACTTCAATATTTTATCATTAGTAAATTTACAGAAAATGAAAATATCAATGATATTTCATGTTAGCACAAATATGCTGACTACTGGGCTGGTGATACTCTCGGTTACAATACATTTGACAGCAGTGACATCGACCAAGTGGTCGTAACAAAACTCATCTTTGTTTCCAGGTTTATAATTTGGTACGCTAGACGGGCGTATCATTAACATAAAACTCATCAGTGGCGCTTGAATCAAAACCGTTGGAAAGCCAAATAAAAAACAAAGTTGAAGAGCATTCAAAACCGTAAATTTCAGAACAGTTGGGCCAAATACGTATCGGCAATCTTCAGTTGGGGGTAGAAAACCCGTAGTGGTTTGAATATTTCAACGTTTTATAAAGGGTAAATAGATAATGACCATATCAAGGATATTTCATGTCAGCACAAAAGTGCTGACTACTAGGTTGATGTTACACTCGGGATCGAAACTACCCAGTGGTAGATACCAGACTTATAATTTGGTACGCCAGACGCGCGTTTCATCTACATAAGACTCGTCAATGGCCCTCGAAAAAAAAAAACCAAGTGGACAGCTAAGTAGTCCATGAATTGTATCACTGGCCTATAAACACTAAGATTGTGCGTTTGGTACCGAGTCAATTCATATACAAGTATTGTTGGTACTGAAATCGGTATCGAACATTTTTATAACCCCTGGTTTTATGGAGCATTCGTGGTCAGTTTTAATTTTATCAGTTGAAATAAGACTTATTTTGACAATTGTGGCTTCATTCTTTTGACCATAGTGTTGTCGAAATCCTCAACTAATGATTAGCGTTTGATTAACTTTGTCTATGAAGTAATTTTTGATAGTTATAGTATAACTCTCAGTTAAGTTTTACTCATAAGATATACCTACCTTAAACGAAAATAAAGATCCGCAATGGAGTTTTCCCAATTGATCACGGGTTATTTATAGTTTGGCTGCATGAATCATTTTTGGGCAAAACATGTTTGTTTCTGTGGGTCATGAAAATCTTGATCCTCTCTTTCAAAAGTATGTTAATAAAAGTGTTATCTTGATTATGTAAACTTCTAGCGAATTATAAGTTGTAATGTAGTCAGGTTAGTCTGTTTTTATTTCTTAGAGCTAAAAATGAGGTAAACAACGTAGTTATTTTTTACTGTTATTCTTTTTATAACATTATATATTTCTTTTATCTAAAGTTTATGCTCACATTACATTTTCGTATTTACAGATTTTTTTGTCAAATTGTAAACTTTGATTTAAGATATAGAATTTTCAAATCTTTTGAAATTAAAATGGAAAATTTTCACTAATATTTGAAATAAGGGCGATGCAAATATACAAAGTGATTGGAACTAACCATAAATTCGTGTAGAAAATAAGAAGCACATATTTCTCACCATGATGAAAAATATCATTTTCCCAATAAACAATATACCTTTGGAAAAAGTACTGTTATGAATTATTTGATAATTCGTAATATTTTAATTAAAAAGTGAAATCCAGAATTTAAAAACTCGAATTAAAATTTAATAATTAAAAAGGAAATCCTGTTAACCTGATTTAGTTTTGAATCTTTACTGATAATTATAATGCTATGCTTTTATTTTCTATGCATGGTTCGACACTTAATTTTTGTAATCGTAGCCCTATCAATTACCCGCTAATAGGAGATAAAACAGACAAAGACCTGAAAATCAGTGGAAGAATACTATCTCCCAGTAGACAGTTCTTCAGTATGTAAATATAGTTCTAATTCAGTTAAATTAATAAGATTTGGCAACCACTGGGTCGATGTCATTGCTGATGGACGTTTTGTCCCCGAAGGTATCACCAGCCCAGTATTAAGATACGGTCAATTCTTTTATGCTCACAAACGTGTTGTATTGCTGTCTTTTAGTATGTTTCAGTCACGAGTGTTTCAATAAATAGTATTAAATGTATTTTTTGAGCCGGGAAGTAATGTGACAGGTTATCTGTTAACATAAAAGTTCCATCGATATTATGGTCAATTGGCATTAGGCATGTTTTTAATTTAATGTATCTTGTAAAAACAAAACAATATAATCGTCACCGTCATCTTAACTAAAATAAAACGGTAATGTTATAAATAGGACAAAAATATGTCGATGAAAATGAAAATAACACTTTTTGTTTCTGTTGTTCCGAATCTATTTTCTGGATTTATCTTAATCTGGAACACCCATACCCAAATAACAACTTGAGGAATTTATGACCTAAAGGGACACAAAAAGAATACCGATCTGAGTTAAATGTGCCTGAGGAAGTTTGAACCTTAGTTTTTTGATAATTTATAGTTTCATCAACGGCCCAATTTGTTATAAATCATGTCATTGAACGATCTGCAATAGTAGACAAAAATGTATGCAAAAGCCATTTAACCTGTGTAATAAGGGGGTCACATGACCAACTGTTCGCGTTACAAGAGCTTTTAAACTTCATCACTGATTCGAGTTTTACCCTGCGGTCTGCAATCAGAGATAAATGTTTAAGGATACATTCATGGACGTATAATAGCATCCCCTATAAAGAATGTGAGTCTGAGCTACAGTTTACGATTTACAGACTAATATTAATAAAATTACCGTTTTCAGATTCCCAAGATTAAGCCTTTACTGATAACATTCATACATGGTTTTATGATATATATAGGAAAATACATCAGAGTAACGCAAAATGCATGTCACAATGACCTACATTTTAAGTTTTGCAAACTGTATCACGTTTTACGTCAGAATTAAGATCCTGGATAATAAAGGACCTGCAATCACACAAGTGGTGTATTGATTCATTTCCGGGAGTAAAGCACTCTCTACGAAAAGGAAAGATCGGGTCATGCTAGTCTATATTTAACCCTTCACCAAATTGTATTCAAAAGAAGTGTAAGACCGACTCTCAGTTTCTAAGCGTTTTTCTTTTTTGCAATTTTGTCAGTTTCACTTTGACTTATGACTTTTTAATATCACCTTGGTATTTTCTGTCTCTTTTCCGAAATGTTAGATATCAGTCATTTTCAAACTTCAATAAAATTTACATCGGTCACAGTTTCTGTTAAATTGTTATGTTACGAGAGTCAAGCGGTCGAGCCTTAGTAGTATGTTATAAAATGTTTCCCTTAGTGCGCTCATTGCTTTAAGAATGTTTTCGTTGTGATATAAAAATAAGGATGTAAAGGTTTACATCGAGTAAATCTTGTCACTGATAGCGTCGTATTCTGGTATTCTGTATACACCCTTGTATGGTTGGTGTCTCTGGTAAGATAACACATCTGATATAAATTGTTAGATTTGGGTATAAGTTTTTTGCATGCGAAAGATTGTTGTTTTTATGAATGATAATTCTCCGTATGAATATGTGTATTAATACCAGACTTGTTTTAAATAGAGCTTTCTTACAGTTTGATGAAAGGTACGTAAGGTTGATACGGTGCTTTTTGTCCGACAATTGCATTTTGTCCGGTGTAGCTTTTTGTCCGACATTTTTGCTTTTTGTCCGTTGCTTTCGGTCCGTTTTGCATTTTGTTCAATAATTTTGCTTTTCGTCCGACACTTTTGCTTTTTGTCCGTTGCTTTCGGTCCGTTTTGCTTTTTGTTCAATTATTTTGCTTTTCGTCCGACACTTTTGCTTTTTGTCCGTTGCTTTTGGTCCGTTTTGCTTTTTTTTCCTGATGATGTTGCTTTATGTCCGATTTAAAAATGTGTATGTGTGATATCGTGATAGAACCATCGACCTTCTGTAGCAAAACTGGCAACCTTAGTAAATTAGAATTACAGTAGAGCACATCACCATGAACTAACAACATCAGTATTGACTCTCTAGTGATTACTATAGGTGAACTACTTCGATCACTCGGCCACCCAGACCCACAAATTTTAAACAAAATTTGTTAAGCGTTGCACCCATATTCCAGGTAAGGGGAGGGTTTGGTGCCAGAAAACATGTTAAACCCAAATCCATATTATATATGGC